TCAAAAGGGTAATTGTGTTTTATAATAGCAACTGCAATTTTTTCACGATACATATGTTGATCCAAAGGAGCCCCAAAGCTTGTATTCTTCAACTCTCTCCACTTGCAAGAATCAAAATGCTTGAGCATATTAGATGTTCCAGAATTACCTTTTAATAAATATGCTTGTGCACACCATTTACACTTAACTTTTTTCCTTCCATCAGCAGTCACTGCTACAGTATCAAAACCATCCCAAGCAATTGATGTTTGCCTCCTAATTCGCTTGGCTGAACTTTCTCCGGTAGCCTCTCCACTTTCAGGTATAGAATCTGTTGATGAAACTCGCTCAACATTGTGCTCTTCTTCTCCTTCCATTGGAACAAGTACCTAATATTCATTGCACCAAAGAATAGAAAAAAAATTCAGATCTCATTAAGTGCAAAATGACAGCAAAAAAATACTAGTTAGAGGAAAGGATTAAGATAACATTAAGAATTTAGAAGTCCAGAAATCCCAAGCTTGCATTTTTGGTTACTCTAGAACAGGGAAGCTTCCTATATGAGAATCTATGTTACTCTAGAACAGGGAAGCTTCCTATATGATTCTGGAGGTGCATTACTTACTCTAAAAACTAAATTATTGATCAGTTTGCCAGATTTCGATGTATGCAATCATATGTCATGTCTTCTAATTAATGTTAGACATAACAACTCTAACTAAATTTCCTAATGTCCTCATCACAGTAATGAATTCAACTAGGAATGAGGACCTGGGAATTAGTTGTCTGCTATAACATGAATCATTCTAGATAAAAATATTGTACAGAATCTCATTCCAAGTATCAGTGACTCCAGGGAAGCTCTCGTTGAAGTATCCATTTTATCTTGTGGTGTATCAGTGACTCCAGGGAAGCTCTCGTTGAAGTATCCATTTTATCTTGTAGTGCCAATTGACAAGTCCCTTCCCAACTCAGTTGGGATTTCTGAACCGCAAATTCTGTGGTGCCAGGCTTGCACTCTAATCCTCCACAAGGAATAGTTAGGAAAAAGTAATGGGTTTGCTTCAAAGCCAACCGAATCTCACTCGTTTTAGCATTACAACCAAAATACCTACAACTCCTAGTCGTCACAGCAGCTAGCCACATGCAAATGAAATGCAATAACCCCAATAATTCAAGTTAATTAGCCAGCCCAAAAGCTTTGATTTAACAAATATTGATTGGAAACTCAACAACCTAGAACCAGAAACAGAGACAGACCCGTTCCCTCCTAATTATCAAACAATTTAAGCCGAAATGGAAAATAAAGACGAAGATATCAGCAAGAAAAGGATGAAGATTTACCCCCGATCACTTGCCCGCAAAATTCATCCTCACTCAATCTGGGATCTTGGGTTGGGTAAAATTTTAGGAGGATTCAGACAGAAAGGATGGATTTAGTTAAGTAGCGATTAGAGCAGAGGGGAATGGGAGGTGACGGCGGTGGCGGCGAAGAAGGGACTGAAACCAGTGAAAAAAAGGGAGCACGGGGACGGCTCTTTCACATTCCAACGTTCAATTTTAGGATAGCTCCTTTTTTAGTCATTTGCTGTCCGTTTCTTTTATTTGGTTTTTAAGTAAATGGATATATGTGGTTTTTGTGGATAATTCATATAAATCCATTTAATTTAATGGTTTTATTTTGATCAACCATTTAAAACCAACATTATAAATGGATAATCCAAATCCATTTAATTATGAATTATATGGATGGATAAATGGATTTCAATCCAAATTGCCACCTCTACCTGTTAAGTCTTATGCTTCGTAATGAATGAATTTTATTTTAATGGATGTTGATAGCTGGTATTTATAGTGGTTTTCTTTGGTTGTGTTTTGTGGTGTTGTTAAATGCATGGTGAGCTGCTTTGGCTCTTCCGCGCAACCCAGCAGATTCCATAGAATTTATGAATCAAGGCTTTTTTTAGCTGCAGCAGATGTATGTATATGTGTGTACATTAAGTAGGTTAGTCCAGATGTCAACCTTATGTATTGACAGATTTTTGCGTATGCCTGGAATTCATCCTGCTGTTTTTGCTTCCAACCCTTGTTTCTGTAATCACAGTGGACATATTTTCCCATTGAAACCCACCAATGGGTTTTGTTCCTTGCGGCTTCTCCATATACTTCCTTAATTTCGTTACCATTAGTTATACTTCCTTACTACTTTTGACGGGTGGTTTGCCAATTTATCTACTGATCTATGCTCCATTTTTGCCTGCCAACCCACCTGCCTTTCGGCTTTCAGTGGCATTTTTCTTCTTGCTAACTAATTCATGTAAATTGATTTCCATGGTCCTATGCGTATAATCAATTGCTTTGTCGAAAAAATTATGCAAAAACTTATTTGCTGTACTGATTTTTTTAGCCAAACGGGTGGCGGTTATATACCCCTGGTGCCGTAAATTCAGGATTTATGTATTCTGTTGCTAGCGTGCAGATTATTGATGCAATCCTTCTTGCCCGACATAATGTATCACCAGCTCACTTTCGTATTTCTGAGACCTTTCTACCAATTTTTTCCCCCATTGTTTAATTCTTTAAATTAAATCAAAGGGTATCATATATGTATTTTGCATGTGTTGTTTTTCCCTTGCTAAAAGTTTTTTAAAATTGCCTAGCATGCATTTTCTGGTTAATCATAGTTTTATACGTGATACTTTGAAAAATCGACAAACTGATTGTTTCTTTTCTATCATGCCTATACTTTTTCGCCTACAATTTTTTAAAAATGAAAACGCAAACCCGTACATTTTTCCGTCTCCATCCTTTGTTTTATATGTGAAACTTATAATGCTTTAATTACCTTTAATTAGTACTTTTTAGCTGTCATATTTTTTAGCTAATTAGTACTTTTTAGTTGTCATTTTTTGAGTTTTGAAAAATCCTTCTTGCCCGGCATAATGTATCACCAGCTCGCTTTCGTATTTCTGAATTATTTCGCTTGGTTTAGCTTTCAATTAAACTTCGCTTTTTTCCATCCTTTTCATTCTACCAACAATAGTTACATAAATCTCAAAAAAATAAACAGATGTGTGTTAACCCCTAGATATTTAATTTTATTCCATTATCCCTATCAATGTACTGCCTTCTCGATGATGCCTAATTATTCAATAGACCTTTCTACCAATTTTTTTCCCCATTGTTTAATTCTTTAAATTAAATCAAAGGGTATCATATATGTATTTTGCATGTGCTGTTTTTCCCTTGTTAAAAGTTTTTTTTATTGCCTAGCATGCATTTTCTGGTTAATCATACTTTTATACGTAATACTTTGAAAAAATCGACAAATTGATTGTTTCTTTCCTATCATGCCTATACTTTTTTGCCTACAATTTTTTAAAAATGAAAACATAAGCCCGTACATTTTTCCGTCTCCATCCTTGTTTTATATGTGAAACTTATAACGCTTTAATTACTTTAATTAGTACATTTTAGCTGTCATATTTTTTAGCTAATTAGTACTTTTTAGTTGTCATTTTTTTTAGTTTTTTTATGGAAGTGTCTAATTTTTTAGCTCCTTCACTGTTGGCCCTTATATCTAACGTCTACTTGATACGTCTATTTGAAAATTGCTTTCTTTTTTTACTCCTTTAAATCCACCATCGTTTATTATTCTATACTAAGAATATTTTCCTTGTCTGTTGAATTTATTACTTCTAAAAAATATTACTTTTCCACTTGCCCATTTTTGTATTCTGTTGCTGTTATCAAGTATTCTGTACTTGATGCCCGTTCCTTATCAGTAGTTTTTACCTTACGGATGCGTGTGCTTTCGCCTTAGTTAAGGATACTATGAATCTTTCCTTTGTCAGAAGCTTTTAATTGCATATGCTCATAGTTGTCTCTGTTTGCATTGTATCCAGGTTTTCTATTATCGAAACTTAGCAATTTTTGTGCTATTTAGATATTCGTGTGCGCAACGCAGCCCCGTAGCTTACAATCTTTTAGGCTATGGAGCAGAACCATTATTTCTCGGTTATCTTTTCAAAAATACCGCTCGCTCCTCCAATGTTGCAGCATTGTCCATTAACAGTACCTCGTTTTCTTGGTCAATGCGCTTCTGGCTCTTCGAAATTTTCGCCCAGCTTAAGTCTTCTTTTGTTTATCGCGTGTTTTCATTTGGTTGTGCTCTTCCATTGTATTCTCACAACTGGTGCCTTGCTCAGAACTTCTATCCTCTGTGTTGAGTTTTCCAGGTATTTTTTGGGTTCTTCTCTTATTATGTTCTTTATCAGCCCGCGCTGCACCAACATTATACGTAGCTACGTTTATGTTATTTCTGCACGCCATGTGTTTGTTATGTGCATGTAATGCATAGGCAGACTCATCTAACATTTAAGTTGCATGAAAGTAATTAAAGTGTAAAAAAATTACAGTCTTTCAATTAGCTTTTTTTTTTCCTCCAAGTTTCTTCTTTATCTGCACTTGCTTTGAACCTATATTGGCTGCTTTGTTCTCAGAAAGACTCACAGACTCGTCAACCATTGTCCTTTTTCTGAAGCAATGGCTATTCTGTTTTCATTTTTTGGCTTCTCGGACCATTACACTTCTGAAAAACCTATGTTTGCTGTTATTTCAAGTTACCTTGTTCTTTTTTCACAGAAGTTTCTTGTTGCACAGCGCTTTCCTTGAACCTGCATTGCGCGCTTTCTTTCCAGGTACACTTCTGCGTTTACAAGCCATTTTTCCTTTTTCCTATTCTTTTATTTAATGATCTGTCAAATTTTTATTATTCTTGTTAGTCCTCCTTTTCTTTTTCTTTTTTCTCCTGCTTTTGTTTCTTCTTTATATGTTTTTCTTTTCTCTACCTTTTGATTTAGCATGCTTACTGCCTATTGTGGAGTTTTTGGTCCATGTTATGGTATGGCTTGAGATTTTTTTAACACTGTACTGTTAATACCGATGCCTTTTATGTTCATCATCATAGAGTGTTTGGTTGAATGGATTATAACTTAAAACGCCGTTTGCGATACGCTGCTATGGATCAAGAAAAGAAAGATGCATTGTTACGCCGTAGGAGGGCTGCCTATGCTGCGAAAAAACAAAGTTGTCCTCTTGCTCCCACCCTTGGTGCGCAACAGTTAGAGAAAAATAAGTCTATGCGTGCCCATTGTTCAACTGGTTTCGAGACTGCCTCTTTTCAGGCAAATACGCCCTTTGGAGCCCATGAAATACCTGCTACAGATGTTGAGGATATAATGAGTAGTGATGAATTAGCTGATGCATTTGATGGTATTTCTAAGCAGCTGGCTCCTGATATGGGAAGCCAGAACTTACCTCCTGAAAGTTCGTTACCTGTTAGTTCTTCTGACGTGCCTTCGCCGCTAGGAGGTATATTATTTCTTAGAGTAGATTTCTTAGTCATATAGTCTTTATTTATCCCTCTGCCCAATTTCTGATCAGGGTCTCTTTTAAATATACCTTCTTGCTGGCCGCTTACATAGATTCCTCTTTTCTCATCTCTCCAATAATTTATACCTGACTCTCTCATTCATTGCTGTTGTTCCTTCGTTTTCTCTTCCACGAACATTATCTATTGCTAATCCCAAATCATCACTTCTTTTGTGTATTTGTGTTTTGGTTAATCTGTCTAAGATTGGTGTCCTATTTTTTTAGTTCATCGCATGGTGCCTGTTGAAGAGGGTACCTGTGTTCTTGATTTTGGTAACTCTAGAATTTCTGAATCTTCAAACAATCCACAGATCGTTGTGAATACACGAGTTGAGGGCGGAGGTTAGTGATGGAGTATCTTATTTCTTTATGTACGTCTAAGAGTAAGCTTTTGATGTATTTCCTCTTGTCCGGCTACAGTGATATATTTTTTTGCTATTCTCTTAGGAAAAAGCAAAAGATCTAGAATCACAGATTCTTTGCGCTCGAAAACAATACCAACAAAACCTCTTGTCTTGCCCAGTGTTCCAGACTGTGAGCACTGTGGAGCAAAGAGGTTTACCTTGGAACCACCCAAATTTTGTTGTCGTGGTGGGGAGATTTCTGTAGTTTGTCCGACAATGCCTTATGAACTCTTTCGTCTTTACTCTGGTACTGACGAAGAGTGTGTTGAGTTTCGTAAATGGGTTCGAACCTATAACAATAATTTGGCCTTCACATCATTTGGCGCCAAGTATGATCGTGCCTTAACAAAGAATACCAAGGGTGTTTATACTTTTCGGGTGCAAGGCCAGGTGTACCACTTATTGAACAGTTTGGTTTCTCCCACTGATCAAGCTACTGGTGTTCAGTTATATTTCTACGATCAGGAAGAGGAATTATCAAAAAGACTCGCTGGTTCGCCTAGGCTACGTGAAAGTACCCTCAAATTGTTGATGCGTATTCTTGAAGCTAATCCATACACTAAATTTTTCAAAGGTCTTCGAGATATTCCTGATCTAGACAACCATAGGATTGTTCTCAACTCTGATCCTCAGTTGGATCAGCGTGTGTATAATTTGCCTGCTTCATCCCAAGTTGCTGCCATTTGGGCAGAGAATGAGGATGAAGCACTTGAAAAAGGTGCTCATATTCAAGTTTATACCCACTCAAATGTGACTCATAGGATACCACATTATTTTGCGTCCTATGATCCATTACAGTATCCTCTCTTATTTCCTCGGGGTGAGCCTGGTTGGCATTATGGCATCCCAAAAAGTACTGATCCTAATGAAAAAAATATGGATCATGATGCTGATGATGATGTCGTGCCTAATTTTTCCTTAATTGGAAGTGCATCAGGCTTGATTCAACAAGAACACGAAGGCAAGTCTTCTTAGTCCGTTTCTGGTTTTTTTTCCCTCCAACCATAAGTTATATAGAGTGTTAAATAAGTCTCTTATTCTACTTTTCCCTTGTACGTGCTTGTTGTGTAGCTGCTGAGAGTGGGAAAAAACAGCGTGATACTATTTCTGCAAGAGAGTACTACTGTTACTTACTTCAAATGAGAGAAAATGATAGATCAATGTTGTTGCACACAAGGAGACTGTTGCAGCAATTTGCTGTTGATATTTATGTGAAGATTGAAACGTCTAGACTTGACTTCCATAGAAAGAACCAGACTAATATTAGGACTGAGATTCTACAAGGTGTAATGGATAGTCTATCTGCTGGTCAGACTGAAGGAAAAAATGTTGGTCGTCGAGTTTATCTCCCAGCTTCTTTCATTGGTGGTCCAAGGGACATGCGCCGTAGATATGTTGATGCGATGGCATTAGTCCAGAAATTTGGTAGGCCAGATCTTTTTATTACCATGACATGTAATACACAGTGGAGAGAAATCCAAGAAAATCTGAAGTATGGAGAGGATGCACAGGATAGGCCTGACTTAGTGTCAAGAGTGTTTAGAGCAAAATTTGAGCTGCTCAAGGCTGAAATAGTGAAAAAAAAGCTTTTTGGGGAGGTTGCTGCGTGTGTTCATGTGATTGAGTTCCAGAAAAGGGGTCTCCCTCATGCTCACCTGTTAGTCATCCTTAAGCCTGAATTTAAACCATTGAACTCTGATGCTTATGATCGTATTGTGTCTACTGAGATTCCAGATCCAAAGAAGCAGAGCTATTTATATAATCTTGTGATCAAGCATATGATGCATGGACCTTGTGGTATTTTGAATAAAGACAATGTTTGCATGAAAGATGGCCTTTGTAAAAACCATTATCCAAAGGATTTTAGTGAATTCACGGTCCATACTGAGGATAGCTACCCGCACTATAAAAGGCGCAATAATGGTCGTTCTGTAAGGGTGCGCAATAGCAACCTAGACAATCGTTGGGTTGTGCCATATAACCCATACCTTCTTGCTCTCTTCGACTACCACATGAATGTCGAAATCTGTTCAACGGTTAAGCTGGTCAAGTATTTGTATAAATATGTCTATAAGGGTCACGATCGGGTTAGCTTCCATATTCATTCAGAAAGTGACCCTAATGACATAGATGAAATAAAGGATTTTCAGGCTGGGAGGTGGGTAGCGGCTGCAGAAGCTTTTTGGCGCATTTATAGATTTAATCTGAATGAGATGGCTCCTGCTGTGTATACTCTTCAATTACATCTTCCAGGTCAACAAATGATCTCTTTTCATAAAAATACGAATCTTGCTGATCTCTTGGATCGAGCCGATTTTTCCAAGACAATGCTGACAAAGTTTTTCCGCATGAATAAAACCAACAAAAGAGCTCAGGGTCTTAAATGTCTATACCGTGAATTCCCAGAATTTTTTGTCTGGAAACCTGCTAAGAAAAAATGGACTGAACGGAAGAGAAAAAGAGTCATTGGTCGTGTTGTGACTGTTGCTCCAAATGAGGGAGAGCGCTACTACTTGCGTCTTCTGTTATCCCACGTTCGTGCTCCCACGTGTTTTGAAGATCTCTTGACTGTTAATGGAAAGCTTATGCTCTCCTATAGAGAAGCTGCCTTCCAAATGGGACTTCTTCAATCTGACACCCACCTAGAAGATACACTTAATGAAGCAGCAGCCTTTCAGATGTCTTCTTCATTAAGAACTCTCTTTGCAATCTTGTTAGCCTATTGTTCGCCGAGCAATCCTAGAGCCCTTTGGGAAAAATATGAAGCTGAAATGTCAAGGGATTTTGAGAGAGCTAGGAGTTTTTCTGCTCAAAATGTTGAACACATAAGAAGATGTGTTTTGTTGGATATAAATAAATCCTTGGAACAAATGGGAAAAAATGTCAATGACTACCATTTGGTGCCTACTGATTTCATTCTCAGTCATGATGAGCGCCTCACAAGAGAAATTCAAAGTGAGCTAAGCATACAGTTTACCGAGCAGGACTTGCTATTGCCTTCAAAGCTAAATATAGGCCAAAGATATGCCTATGATGTTATTTTACAAGAGGTTTTCTCTTCTGGAAATACCAGTTTTTTTGTTGACGGACCCGGCGGGACTGGTAAGACGTTTCTTTATCGCTCTATTCTGGCAACGCTTAGATCCCAAGGATTCATAGCAATAGCTGTTGCATCATCTGGAGTAGCTGCGTCTATTCTTCCAGGAGGGAGGACCGCACACTCAAGGTTTAAAATCCCGTTCGACATTTCTGCGAGTAAAGTCTGCCATATCAGCAAACAGAGCTCTGTTGCTAGGCTTATTCTCATGGCTAAATTAATTCTATGGGATGAAGCTTCTATGGCCAAGAGGGACACTATTGAAGTATTTGACAGGTTGCTCAGAGATGTGATGGACTCTGATCTGCCCTTTGGTGGCAAAGTAGTAGTATTTGGGGGAGACTTTCGTCAAACTTTACCTGTTATTCAGAATGCAACAAAGGATCAGCAAATAGAAGCCAGCTTTGTCAACTCACCTTTATGGAGTAGTCTTCGGAAGTTAATCTTAACTGAAAACATGAGAGCTATCTCTGATAGCCACTTCTCTGATTTCCTACTTAGGATAGGCGAAGGTTGTGAACCAGAAGACGAAGATGGAAAAATAACTCTATCAAACGATATATCAATTCCATTTGATAACAAAGAGGATTCACTAAACAGGTCAAGATTTATTTTTTCTTTCAGCCTCTGTTGTTACTTTTTTAATGTACATCAGCTTTATTAAATGGTCTTATCTTACCTAAATTACTTGTTAACCAGGTTAGTGGATTTTGTCTTTTCGGATTTGAGCGTGTATTCATCTGATCCATACCAAATCACAAACAGATGTATTCTTACTCCAAAGAATACATGTGTCGATGATATAAATGAGATGATGATTGATCGTTTTCCTGGACGACTTATAATTTTTTTTTTTATAATTTTTCTTTTCGTTCCTCTTGTTCGATTTATTAACATTGTTCGTTATTTTGTTCTAGAGGGACAGCGATCTTCTTCGAAACCACGAGTCCGTCTGACAAGAAGGTTTAAAGATGCTGGAGAAATAGAAGAAGGACCTACAGGAGTCGATGACTCTGGCAGCACCAAGAAAACAAAACTTGTCTGATCTTTCCTTATCTGTGCTCCTCTTTCAAGTTACATTAGTGATGTTGCAAATCTTTTGATTACTGTCCTGAAGAGACAAGCTCGAACAGATGCAAAGCTTGTGTTTTGTTGAACTTATGTATGTGCCATGCGTTCCATTTAGATGTTTTTGCTTGGAACTGATGCTTCAGTTATCACGACTGACATCTTCTACATCGTTGTCAGGAATGGATTGTATACCATGTAACTCCCAAATACTTATCCCATTTGGTATATTTATCCATTTATTAATTAGAGCACCTGCCTTTTGGAACCAAGTAGCACATTGCTTGCCATCATTCTGTATGTGTAATGAACTGAACTATCAATTTGATGCACATTTTGACAGCTGAAACGAGCTCTTTTTTTTCTACTGCACCGGTCGGTTTCAGAATTTCAACCAATTAGACCACATTTACAATCAAATTTCGTTTTTTTTTCATACTTACTTGCAATGATTGATTTTAGAACATCTTGTACTCTTAATATTTAATCCAACCACACCATCACCATCTATATAAACCCTTCTTAAACCCGTCTAAATGGGCATACATGCTGGTTATTCCACCGCGCAACGCCGCGGTTATACCTCCTAGTCTATACCATAAACCCCAATCGTAGTATGGCCCCGTTGCACCACATCTGCCATGGAAGTAATTGTACTATAGCAAGAGAGAGAGAACGGAAATTTCTTCGTGTTGCTGATGAATGTGAGAGTCTGAAGAGGGTAAGACTTAAGAGTCCAGGGAGGAGACATCTTAATTTACCTACCCAAAAAAATATGTATTATCTTAATTCTTATTACCTTTTCAAACACATTAAAAGTTCAATCCATGGGAGAAGAAAGAGCACAAAAAGTCTTAATAATGAGCAAATCAATTCAAGACTATGACTCAGCTTTATATGATTCACCAAGTTCAGCAATTATATATTGTTAATTCTATTGTTTATTTGGGGACTTGTTAATTCAATTGTTTGTGAATTAATACTTAATTTGATTAGCAGGATCCTCCAATTCAATAAGAGCAACTTGAACGCATGTTAGAGTTGGCTGCAATTGTTTAATTTTCTTCAGCTACAAATAGGAATTCGCCTTCTGTAGTTGTCGGACAATGGATGGTCGAAATCTTTGTAAAATAATTCAGAATTCAAAATTTGTTGTATATTCAACATCAGAAAAAGCTCCATTTTCTTGTAAAGCTTGTGATATTGGAGCTGATCGCTTGCTTATCACTTGATCATACCCAACCATAAACTGAACAAAACCATTTCAAGAAATAAGCAATGGCTGCACTGCCCCTTGCTAAGATATCAGAGCGATTGCCTGATGGTTTCTTGAATCAATTAGAAGAGAATGTTAATCCCATGAAAAGTGTCAAAACAGAGGTGAAATATATCTCTGAGAAATTGACAACAATTGGAGGATTGATGTCTGATGCCGAGAGGAGAAAACTGAAGGAGGAAGAAGTCCGAATTTGGCTACAAAAGCTTGATGGCATAGCATGTGAGATTGATGATTTGTTGGATGAATGGAACCATGAGATACAGAAACTTTGTACTCAGACAACTTGAAAGAAGGTATGTTCCTTTATCCTATCTTTTTGCTGTTGTTCCAAAGAATTATGGGTGCAACATCATATTGCCTCGAGAATTAAGGCAATATATGATGAACTGGAAGTGATTTGGAATGAGGCAGCTCTATTCAAGTTCGTTAAAAGCCATCTAGCTACTTGTGAAAAACCTGGTAGCAATCTTTGTGATGAGTTAGAGGCGTTTGGTCGAGAATCTGACAGGGATGTTATAGTAGGCCGTCTAGTATCTGAGAGTAGTAACAAAAGGGATGTTGGAGTTCTTGTTATCTCTGTAGTTGGCACTGGAGGAATTGGAAAAACAAATCTGGCTAGGATAGTCTTCAATGATGATATGGTGAAAACTCACTTTAGAACATCTAGAAATGGGTATGTTTACCAGATTCTTATGATTTGGCAGGGAAGAGTTCCCCTAATGTGTCAGAGTTGGATAGTTTGCTCCAATATCGTAGGAGCACTCTGTCTAGGAAGAAATTTTTGCTTATCTTGGATAGTGTATGCATTCAGGATGAGATAAAATGGCTGAAAATTAGAGACTCTCTCAAGGATGGAGTCAGTGGAAGTGGAATCTTGGTTATAACTAGGAGTGAAAGAGCGCAATTGATGGGCACAACTTATATGCACCACTTGAAACAAATGCCTGATTCAGATTGTTGGGAAATATTATCCAGGAGAGCATTCCAAGGGAGGAGTAAAGAAATCTTCGGGAAAGTGGAACAGATTGGCAAGGGGGTTGCAAAGAAGTGTAATGGTTCACCACGAGCTGCAAAACTTGTGGGAAGTCTCTTACAATCATGGTTCAAAGTCGTGGTTGTGGTTGCAGTTGCGGTTTGGACCGTTCCCCATCGGTCTCGGCATATCGGTCACGGTCTCGACGAGACGCGAATTTTTGAAATATTTAATATTCTAAAAATTATAAAAAATATGATAAATAAAAATAATTAAAAAATTAGTAAAAATAATAAAAATTCAAATTGACTCGGGATGAATTGGAGTGACTCGGTGTGACTCGACCGTTTCAACTCTTCACGGTGACGTTTCGGCGAGTCACGTATCTCGGAAACGTTTCGTCGCGGTCTCGTCTCGGACTAAACCGAGACGGAGACGAGTCGTCTCCGTCTCGGCCGAGTCTTTGAACCATGCTTACAATGTAAGGATACAGTGCAAGACTGGCAAAACATACTGGATAATCAGATATGGGAATTGGAGGAAGTATCTGTGGACGTTGAACTTTTCCCTGCTTTATATTTAACTTATCATGAATTGTCTCCTGAACTGAAATGTTGCATCAGATACTGTGCAGTCTTTCAGAAAAATTTGAAGATAGACGTGGAAGGTTTGATTAGACTGTGGATGGCACAAAGTTATATTCTCAACTCATCAGAGGCAAATGAAATACAGATGGAAGAAAGGGGACGCGAGTACTTTACTCTGTTAGTAGCACGTTGCTTTTTTCAAGAACAGGAAAAGGATATCCTTGATAGAAAAGTTGTCTCATGCAAAATCCATGATATAGTGCATGACCTTACAAAACATCTCGCAAAAAATGAATGTTCCTCAAGATTGTTTCATCAATCATCTCGAATGTGCGAGGACTTTGAGTTTAAGCGCCTGTAGTCTGGCAGAAATACCAAGCGAGATTGGAGATTTGATCCATCTGAGGTACTTGAACTTGAGCCATAATCACTTTGGGGAATTACCTGAAACAGTCTGCAACTTATTCTATCTAGAAACATTGGATATCAATTCATGTGAAGATCTAATGAAACTTCCTCAAAAGATTGAAAGTCTCACACACTTGAGGCATCTGCTTAATTTGAATACATTCAGGTTGTACGAATTTCCTCAAGGGCTTGAGAAAATGACTTGGCTTCGTACTTTGACAAATGTCAAAATCGGTACAGTGTACTTCAACTGGAGCAGTCTTAAGAACCTAAACCAACTTCAGGAATTTATGCACATTCAAATCTTTGACATGGTTGGAACTGCAAATGCTAAACTCGAAGAAAGAAGCACCTCAAAAATATGATTCTAGAGTATAGTATGCCGTGCTCAGGATTGGACATAGATGAGAGAGAATCTCTGATACCACCTCCAAACCTGCAGAAGGTCACAATCCGTAAATATCCAGGATACCTATTCCCAAACTGGATGGAAACAGCCCTCAACAATTTGAGAGTTCTTCATATCGTTGACGTCTTATCTTTACCAGCACTGGGGAAATTACCGGCGGCCCTCGAAGAGTTTAAGTTTGTGGAATTGCAGAGTTTAGCATACATCGGTCGCGAGTTCCTTGGACTACCAGAGGACATTGATTCTCTTGGTGAATCTAACGTAGTCGCATTTCCCAGGTTGAAGATATTAGTGTTCAGTCATTTACCAAATTGGCAAACCTGGCAAGACATTGAACCAGGCGAAGAAGATGCTGTCTTGGTGTTGCCAGGTCTTCAGCACCTAGCCTTGTTTGGTTGCGAAGAATTCTGTTTTCTGCCACATCGCATGCTTCGCATGTCATCATCACTCCAGTCTGTAACAATTCGATGACATTGATGGATCCCTGATCATGATCGTTATGCTGATTCCAGGTATGGTTGATCATTAATTTCTTATTCGCATAATGAATTTCTTAATTTCTTATTCTCAAGTATATGGTGGAAAGCATCTAAGTTCACTTTGTTTTGCAATCCTAAATATAATAGAGGAGTAAGCACCATAATTTTACAAGGTTCATATCATGCAACAGAAATGATTTAACAACACCCAAATTCCTACCTTTTGATTTCAAATATTCTAAGAGCTCAAACTTTGTGTCCTTTTGTGTTCTTTTCATTTTTCAAATTGATATATCGTTTGTTATCCTTCCTATCTCATGGACAACACTCCGAATTGCACAATTTATATCGTTTAGCTATACCAAATAAAAATAGAATTGCAAAGTCTATATCAAAATTACCACACTAATACTAGTGATCTATAATGTCACAAGCTTTATTTCAACTTTGAATAAAACTTAAGATATACCGAAATTCAGCCAAATTGTATACCGTCCACAATCTTTGGGGGAACAAAACTATGATGCCTCATCTACTATTTTAATTATTGCCATCTAGCTGGCCATGAGATTTCGTTTTCCTTGACCAGGTACTCGATTGGAAGTGACAACAAATTCAAGATTAGGGCCTTCAAATGTTGTTTGATTTTTACTTGGAATCAGCTTGTCCAAAAGTCAGCGTCAATGATGAATAGTTTCATAAAGAAATGGGTTAGTTTTGAGAAATAAAATTTGGATACTGAGTGATTGTAGAGTGTAATTAATGGATTGTACACGCCGTGTCCAGTTTCTCTCTACCTCTCCTCTTTTTTAATTTTTATCTACTTATTCTTCTCTTCTCAAAAGGCCTTCCCTTTCTCTTCGTGTAGTCTCCCTTCCATGGATTCCATTTTTAATTTATTTTTCTAATAAAATCTCTCATGAAATTTCTTAGTGTGAGCTTTCTGTTTCTCTTAGAGATTCATAATGAGAATTTTCTGTTCTATTAACACATTTGACCATTACAACATAGAAACTATACTAATTTATCTTATTAGAAGACATTTTGATATTTCTTGTATTTTTTTAGATCCATACATAAAATTTTAGATCTTGGCATCTATTAAATTATAGATCTGTTATCTATAGTGCATGCTTATTCTACAATTAGTGCAGACTTTTGTTATGTAAATCAAATTGTACTAGGCAATTTCTAGAAAGTTCATTAATGAAATTCACTTTTTATAAAAATAAAAAATAAAAAGTGTTATTAATTGTGGAAATTGATACAATATAAAATCATATGGATAAAATTTATTTGAATCGCAACTTTTAATGTGTTATGAGGTGTTGTGTTTTATTCCGTTATTTTCTTAAAATCTGTGCTTCTTGTTATAGCTCCTACGTCAGTTATATTTAATATCAGCACTCACGTTGTCCCATACAACTTTAATTGACAATCGTGCATAAATGTTTATGAATTTGTCCTCTATGTAGAAGTACTTCATGGTCCCATTTATTTATGGGATAAAATATCTGGATTGTTATAGCTCCTACGTCAGTTATATTTAATATCAGCACTCACATTGTTCCATACAACTTTAATTGACAATCGTGCATAAATGTTTATGAATTTGTCCTCTATGTAGAAGTACTTCATGGTCCCATTATTTATGGGATAAAATATCTGGATGGTTTTCAAACTATTAAGTTGATCGATTTTTAATCCTTTAATTATTAAGTGTATATTTTTGTCCCTCAAACTTGTAAAAGGGTATATTCCATACCCTTTCGGTTAGAGATAATTTTAGAATCTTCATCGAGATTTATGTTAATATTACTTGGTACCTCTAAAATTTTAAAAATATCACTAACCTCCCCTAAAATCATACCTTTTACAACCATTTAGTGTATCCTATAAATATACACAACACTATTAATCTCATTCGCACTAGTGCAGTGGGGTTATTTAAGCAATTTTACTCACATGGCTTGGTTTTGTTTTGAGCTTTCAGTACTGTTGAAGTATTTTAATAAAAAAAATATCCCAAAACTATATAGCAATAATTTGAATTACAAATTTTATGCATAAATTAAAAAATTTTGTACCAGGCCATATTGATGGTGAATTTGACCACTCTATATTAATCTAGAAAGTTATATTTTGTAACTAAAATCATCCAATAACTATTCTTAATTCATTAATGATTAAGTCTTCAATTCTACCTTCATAACTTCTATATTCTTCTACCTATAAATAGAGGATGAAGCAATATGTTTTTTTTTTTTACAAATTTTAAATCTATGGTTCCGTTTGATAAAACTAAATCTGAATTCTGAAATCTGAATACTGAAACAATTAATTTGTTAAATTTTAAGCATTGAAAAGAAATATATAAATGTCTGAATTTTAATACCAAACCTATTTATACTGTTTGACAAACATTTATAACTAAATGTTTAATAAGTTAAATTTGATAATTTTGCCCCTATATTTTTCATCCAAAAAAGAAATAGAATCTATTATTTAATTAGCTTAAAATTGTCAGGTATAAAAATGACAATATTTATTTTAAATCAAATTAATATAAAAGATGAAATATATTATATAAGGAGTATGGAGAAGATGTGAAAGTCATTAAAAAGAGAGAAAAGAGAAATAAAAAATCCTTAGATAGAGAATATTATGTTACTTAATTAGATAAGAATTTTAAACATAATTAACAAATAAGGGTAGATTCGCTAGATAAGATAAAGTTGTTGAAATAATTCTATTGATTCTTATCAGAATTAAGCATTTAATTAGGATTCTTGTGCTGAAAAAAATACACAAGTTCAGCAGTGCTTAACAAGTTCAGCAGATGGATTTTCATTTATCAAATACTCAAAACATTTGAATGTCTAAAAAAGTTCAATTTCACCACTTTATGGAAAAGAAAAAGTTAATTGAGTCCAATTAACTATATGTATTTGACTCGTACGGTCAAATATAAATTCCTATTTGAGATGCATTTACGAGCAAATGAGACATCTAAAAGGATGCTGTCATTTGAGTTTTGCGGTCCCTATGGTTGAAGTTTGCTAGAGGAAATTCTGAGGCGCTAGACCTAGATTGTCTCATTTCTTCTTGCTTAGAAAAATGATGTGGGCTTGTATATATATACCATATATATATATATATATATATAATAAAGTCGTATTATCATTCTTATCCTTTTATTTTGTCTCTTTCCTACGTGGCTTAACAACAGGGCAAGTAGGTGCAATGCGCTTTATGACTTAACCCCCTAATAACCAACACTATTCAATCCCTCTTTTTTCTCTTGCCTTTACAATTATAGATAATCCTGCCATAATTATTTCTTCCATTCTTTCACCCTTTTTTTCCATAACCCTAATCGTCAAGCCTAAATTTCCTGGGGATTAGTATAAATAATTTTGAATTATGTTTTTAACTCTCTCTCATATTCAACTCAAAAGTTCGAAATATCAATTCAAATATTAGATTATTTTTATCAGATTATCGCTATCACAGATACTCTACATTTTTACTCATATATATGGTTCTCGATCTCATTACTTTATCAAGCAGTGAAAATGTTTACACTTTTCCATCAAATTTTTTGGAAAGTTTTTTTTTTAACTTCAATGCAAGGATCGAATTTGGAACTTTGTTTTTATTCCCTTCAATGTAAGGACCGTATTTGGACTTTGTTTATGCTCGCTGTATATGGTCTGTAATTTCCTACACCTTCTTCATAGTTAGGTCATTGAATTTGAATTTTCTAAGTAAGTCTTCAAAAGTTACAGTTTGGTTTTTATTTCTGGCAAGGTTTTTGTAATTAATTTGTTATTTCAATTTATGGATTCACTCTTCAATTCAAGTAGAACACATATTGCTTTTTTGTTAGTGATTTAAAAGTGGCCTTTTAAATTATGTGTTTTCACAAGATTTTTTAATTGCCTTTGACAATTTATTAATTGTCTTCAACAATGTACTAATTTTTTTTTTATTTTCTAGGTTTCTGGGGTTAAAAAAATTTTGTGCAGTTTTCAATGTTTTTTTAAGACTTTGGTAGAAAGCTTCTAAAGAACAAGAAGGCGTCACTAATTACATAAATGGCAAGGCATCAAGTTCAATGTCATACAGCAGTTCACGTCATACAATATATATCAGACTATTTAGATTTTTTATGTTTTTGACTTAAGAGCAAAATGCATCTTATGTTTTCATTTTGCTTCTATTAGCCGTGAACAGATTTAGAAGGTTGTTGTGTTCCTATAACTTGATTGATTCTGAATTCTGATCTTTTATTAATATTTCATTCAACTTTTTTTCTTTTCACATTAACCTTTAACCCATTTATATTAAGTACCAAAATTGATGTTTTGGTAACGGGTTGGCCATTCTTTTGTTTACAGAAGATCAGCCAAGATTGATCTTGCCTATTTTCAAGTTTTTGAATGTTATCATATCGTCGAATATTTTATTTTTTTTT